GGGAAGGTTGTCCCTTAGCCGAAACTGCACCCTCTCCAATCTGGGACCCCTTGGGGGATGTTCAACTGCCAGCAGATGCCCCTGTGGGATTGGGCCTAAATCGGCAGTTGGACATCCCTCTTCCAATCCAGGACTGCTGACTGCTAACTGCTCACCTACTTGCATGCCCGATTGCCCCTAACCACTCTGGTGGCTGGCCTGCTCGCCCCCAACTGCTCCCCCCTGCCGGCCAGCTTACCCCCAGATGCCCTCCCCTGCCAACCTGATGACCCCCAATTGCCCTCCCTGGCCAGCCTCATGGCCCCCAACTGCTCTCCCTGGCCAGAGGCCCTCCGCTGCCAGGTGCAGAATGCTTGCCTAGTTTCTGGGGCAATGAGGCTGGGCGGGGCTGAGAGGACTGGGCGCCACCATCTTGTGGCTATGGGTGCTGCCATCTTTGTGGTCAATTTGCACATTCCTTCTTTATTAGATAGGATGGTACTGCTAACTGAGTTAATAAATCCCCACTTATCCCATCACCCCACAAGCAAAATTAATTCTCTGCTTGAACAATTAATTTCTCTATATCAGACATTCGAAACGGTGACAGCAATACAGAAGGAGTCTGAACAACCTGAAAATAAATCTGAGAATTTATTGAAAATTAGAAATAAGGACCTTCCTTCCTTCTTTTCTTCACTACTGCTACCTTCCTTTTTACTTCACCTCTCTCCCCCTCCTTTTATTATTATTTGATATCTCCTGATGTATTCCAGACACTGTTATGGGTTTTGTGAATGTAACAGGAAGTCTTTATGGTAATCATTAGGACAGGCAGATGATGCAATGACTATGGTGGTGCTACCATTACACCTGGAGCTCAGAGGGGCCTCCGACTTGAGTCCTGGGCTTTAGAGGACTTGTTATATCACAAACACATGCATGACATGCATTAAAGACCACAGCTTTCTTATCACCCAGAATCTAGCATTTGGGTCCAGTTGAGTATAACAATCCTAAACATCTACTTTCATGATAACACTTTTCAGACCTCAAAGAAACACTGCTTCACATGTTTACCCTATTCCTTTCAAACCAAAGGCAACTAACTATGTGAACATTGTAAAAATTTGTGGGTTGTGCAGCATTGGAATATGAGAAATTCTTTGGATGTGGTGGAGAGAACTGAGCTGTGGATGGTCTTAGGTAAGAGAACGTGCACATGTATTTACCTTCACAAACAGTATGAAGGCAATAGCTTCTTGCATAGTGAAATAGCATTTCCCAGAATTGTGTAACATCCATTTTTTCCACATTATTCCATTTTGTACTTTCAGAGGTACTCATAAATTAGTGCAATTTTCATATTGCAGTTGAGAACAATTTTGCAGTATGAAATAAGCCATATCACTGGTAAATTATTATATACGAAGGATTAGGCATAATATGTGTGCAGCATGATTCTCATTCCTAACATTGTCAACCAGAATGTTCTTTATATTCTAGAAAGCTAAAATTGTGAATAGCTTTGTTACTCTAAAAATGTTATAAATTTGACTTCAGTTTTCAAAAGGCTACATAAAATTATCTTGATGTAAACATTATTTAATGTTTTAATTTACACTAATTAAGATTAAAAAGCAAAACAAATTCTAATTTTGAATAATGTAGAAGAAAATAGGTTGTGAGAAGTTAATATTTTAATTTTAACATTTTATTTATATTTTTAGTAAAGGATATCTAATTCTACCACATGGTAAACAAACCATACTTTAATTTGTAATCCTTTTGTACTTTGAGACTGTATAAAAAGATTATTAGAGAAATAGGAAATTTAAAAGGGTGACATTGAGAAGGTAAAAACTGAAAACAAAAGGAAATATATAATCTTCATAGAGACTGATACAGCCTGAAAGAGTGAAACGGAGAATATTTTTATGGGACATGACCCACTTAAAACTTGTAATCAGAATATTGCAAATGCTTTATTAATTAATATTTAATTACTTAACTACTGATCAAAACAGTGAAACCAAGAAAAATATTATTCTCATGAAATCCATTGCTTCAATAGGTCAGATGAAAACTTTATAACTTTATATGCTTTCCTCGTTGAAGATTTAATTGCCCACAGAAACAATGGAAATTTATCTGTGCTTCTATTTACATATATTTGCTAATGTATGCATAAAATGACTCTGGAAGGTCACTGGGAGACCTCTGACTATTGTTATCTTCTGGAAGGGAAGTTCGTGACTGAATGGGTGGAACTGGTGTTGAATATTGTGTACACGTTACATATTTTAAAAGTCAGTTGTTTTTAAATCAAACATTTTTAAAGAGTCCTTGATTTAAAGTAAGGAAATTCTTTTTCAGTCATGCTAGCGTGTTCACTTCTGTCTTTAATGCATATAAAAACAAGATACTATAGCCATAATTTTATATAGTATTTAAACAAATAAGATGTCATTTACTGGGCGTGTCAAGGACTGTGCTGCCAACGAAAAAACAAAGATGAGCAAAACATGAACTGAGAGCCTTGCTTTAGTTTGACTACTATACCCTCTCAAAAACACTCTCATTTTAGCCTGGCCGTGTTGCTCAGTGGTTGAGCATCAACCTATGAACCAGGAGGTCATGATTTGATTCCTGGGTGCATGCCCTGGTTGTGGGCTCAATCCCCAGTGGGGGGTATGCAGAAGGCTACTCATCGGTGATTATATCTCATCATTAATCTCTCTCTCTCTCTCTCTCTCTCTCTCTCTTTCTTTCTCTCTCTCTCTATCTCTCTCTCTCCTGTCCTCTCTGAAATCAATGAAAATACATTTAAAAAGATACTCTCATTTCATTTTACCTGCTGCCTTGACATATTATTAAACTAAAGATCTCTTTCTGCCGAACCAGTTTGGCTCTGTGGATAGAGCATTGGCCTGTGGACTGAAGGGTCCCAGGTTCAATTCCGGTCAAGGGCATGTACCTTGGTTGCGAGCACATCCCCAGTGGGGGGCATGCAGGAAGCAGCTGATGGATCTTTTTCTCTCATCAATGTTTTTAACTCTCTATCCCTTCCCCTTCCTCTCTGAAAAATCAATAAAATATTTTTTTTTTAAAAAAAGATCTCTTTCTTCATCAACCCACTTTAAAACTGTTTCAAACAATATGTATTAAAGTTTAAAAAGGTCAGTCCCTTCCTTCCCAGAGCAGAGTCTACAGGGGGCCTGTAGAAGTGAAAAAGACAATTGCAATATCCTATA